GCCACGAGCCGGGCTGGCTCGCGGGCCAATTTTTTTTTAAAATTTTAATATTTTTATATATTTTAAAATATTTTTATATACAAATTATATTTTTTATTACATATTTAGTTTGTTTTTGTTTAAAATTTTATTTTATTTATTACATTTTATATATTTTTTAAATATGAAAATTAGTTTTAAATATTTTTAGTATTAAAATTTTATTTTTAAAAATTATATATTTGGCTCGCGGTCTAAAACGATATGAGTTGGACTGATATATTTATGGCTCGCTAAAAAACGGGTCGGACTGGGTTGGACTAAATTTTTTTCAGATCGGAACGAGCCGCGGACTGGACTGGGCCGGGCCGACCCGTTTTACACCCTTAGGAATAAAAAAACACCAATGATACGAGGACCAAGAGGGTCGATAAATATTATAGAATCATGGTCAATAAATATCTATGTAATTGTCCCATCATCATCATCTCTCTCTCTCTCTCTCTCTCTCCAAATCCTAACTCAGGTACTCTCTCTTTCTCTCTGGTATTAATGGAAGCTGTTCAAAATCATTTGATTATCGTGTTTGATTCTTCATATAACAGACCCGTTGTTGTTGGTTTTTGAGTTTTTTTTCTTGTCGTGTCATCAGTGCATGTTTGTTTTTTCATCTTCTGTAACTTTCTCGATGTTTAGTAATAACATACACAAACCCATCATACAAATTATTAGCTAAGTACTACTAATCACTGTTGATTACCACTCCTTTGTTCAGTTTCGATTTTACCAGAGCCAATATTATTTATTTATTTATTTTGTTCTATAATTATGTTTGATAACAGTGTAAATGACTCGAGGATAAACCGTGTTTTGTTGCCGGATGGACCAGCGTAACTAGAGATTCACCGCGGTCAAAATGACGTCATGGGACGACGGAAAACACAGGAAGGTGAAGAAAGTGGTGATTACGTATGGTGACGTCATCAACTCCGTCCAGTTTGATTACGACGACAACGGCAGGACCCTCACGTCGCAGCAACATGGCAGTGTCGGATACGAGTCCAGATGGGTTAGTCTCAGTTATGTTCCGATTTCCACTTTCGATTTTAAACCCTAAATACTAAACGGTAATCGAATTTGAAAATGGAAAAGGTTTGGGTAGCTCTCTTGGGTTGAAATTATAGTAACTGGTTGAACGATGATTTTTTTTTTTAATACAGTAAATTATTCTAGAGTTTAATGGGATTTAGAAAGCATTTTTCTAAATTAAAAAATAACCTTTTTAAGCACTGAAATACAACATTATACTGTAGAAAGACTCCAGAACGACAAATTATAAAACAATCATAGGTATTATTATTGATAGTAATAAATATTTAAATACAAAATATAAATTTTAAGAAATTTTAATTTCAAAAAAAATACAATTTTTAATCTTATAAAAAATATTAACTAAGAAATATAGTAATATGTAAATTTTATACTTGTATAAATTTAATATAGTGTATAAATAAAATAATGATTTATTATAAAAATCCATTTATTTTTATTTTGAGAAAAACAAATCATTTTATAACAGATTAAACATATAAGATATTTTTTTAATAATTTAGTGGTTGATATTTTTTATTCAAAATTAATAATTGATAGTTTTTTATAATAAAATTAAAGTAATTTTTTAAATAAATTAGAGAGTTGGTAATTTTTTTTCTGGAGTTGTGCTAAAAGAAACCATATGTTATTTTAATAAAATTGAAGTAAAACAAAAATAATTTTACCTTTATTTTATTTTTTGTGTGTTTTTGGTTGAAATGTGTTTTGGCAGTTCGAGCTGGACTCCAACGAGTACATGACGAATGTATACGGTTCCTACACGGATGTCTCGGAAACGATCTCAGTTCGAGCTCGAGAAGGGTGAATACATCACATCGGTGGAGGGTTACTACGACAAAATCGTTGACCATCAAACTGCAGTTATCGCGGCTCTTATTTTCAAGACGTCGGGCAAGAAGTTATAACGTCGTTAGCGTTTTCCGTCAACAGAAGATTACTCGGTCCTTTCGGGACGAAATCCGGAAACAACTTCTTCCTCAACTCTCCCGCGGGCAATCAGATCGTCGGTTTCATGGGAAGCAGCAGCGATGTTCTTCACTCCATCGACGTTCGCTTTGGCCCCATCGCTGCCACGGGGACAGGAACCGGAACTGCACCTGGGACCGCAGGCGGCACGGAAAAAGTGGAAGCCCAAGGCAGAAAAGGAGGCAAGAAATGGGACGACGGAGCGAATCACGACGGTGCGAAAAAGGTTGTGGTCGGAGTTGGTCGGAAAGGCGTTCACTACGTCAAGTTCAGTTACGACAAGAGCGGACAGCTCCAAGATGCGCCACTCCGTGGCTCTGCAAGTGGAGCCGCCTCGCCATCTTTCACGGTATAAACTTCAAACTTTTGACACTTTTGCCCCTTTTATTGGGTTTGATCCATTTTTGTGATCTCTGCAGTTTGAGATTGACCACCCCAGTGAGTATATCGTATCGGTCGTGGGCTACTACTATGTTGAAAACATTCAGGGGCTACAATTCAAAACCAACAAGAAAGAATCTCAGGTCTTTGGATATGCCGACGGTACTAAGTTCACGCTTGAGGTTAAGGGCAAGAATATTGTCGGGTTCCACGGATTTGCCGACACATTTCTCAATTCTCTCGGAGCTCACTTTGCACCGACGAGTATTATCGCTCCTTCGCCTCCTTCTGCAGCGAATAAATTGGAAGCCCAAGGCGGTACAGGCGAAACTGTTTTCGATGACGGAGCTTTCGATGGCGTGAGAAAAGTGTACGTCGGACAAGGTGATTCCGGCGTGGCTTACGTCAAGTTCGAGTACGACAAAGGTGGCAACGTCGAACCACGTGATCACGGCACGATGACAATGCTTGGTACAGAAGAGGTATTAGTTTTCTTCTTCTACCTCTCTAACCTTTTCTTGATCGGTGCATGTTCTTGATTCGCTTACTAAGGCCTTTCTTGGAAACGATTTCAGTTCGAGCTCGAGCAGGGTGAATACATCACATCGGTGGAGGGCTACTACGACAAAATCTTAGACTATCAAGCTGAAGTTATCGCAGCTCTTGTTTTCAAGACGTCCAAGGGCAGAACCTCCAAACAGTTTGGAATGGCGGCTGGTACGAAATTCGAACTCGACGGGAAAGGCGGCAAGCTGGTCGGGTTCCACGGCAGCGTTGGAGGAGAAGTTCTTCATTCACTTGGAGCTTATCTTGCTCCATCGCCCACTCCATTGACTCCCGCCAAAAAGTAAAAGAACGGCGCAATCCAAGTCCTTCCATGAAAATGTGTGGGTGCACGTGTCTCTTGATGTTTGTGTTCTGTCTTTAGTGATGAAACGTGCGTTTTGATATGAACGAAGGAGTATTGGATAATGTCTATGAACACGTTTTCAATATGTTTTTTTTTTGTAATCTCTAATATTATGAAATTAAAGGGTCAGTACTCTGTACTCTAAGGGAATATTACTCAAATAACCCACTTGGGTCGCAGCAATTTCAGTGTACACCACCGAAAAAAAAAAAAAATTTCAATTTTAACCCACTTTTCGAATGGAAAAGTCCGAAATACCCTTTTCGTTTTATTTTTTACGCTCTTATTACGACTAATATATAACTGATATACCACTAAAATAAGATAGATGATTTTTTTGCAACCTTTTTTAGAATCAATTGTAACTATATTTAGAATTAATTACGAAGTCGTAATAACGAAGTTGTTTTCGGACGGATAAAAATCGCGTATTCATTAAGGGTAATTTCGTCTTTTCACACACAAAAAAAATGTTATGTTTTTTCTGGTGTACACGTGAAATAGGTGCGACCCATCTGGATGATTTGAGTAAAATTCCCGTACTCTAATGGATCACGACAATATATTTACCTCCAATTACATGTACGTAGTTTGATTTAAATGCGTAGTCTGGTCAGCGAGTCAACTGGCGACCGGCTCATTTTTTTTTTTTGGAGAAGTCCAGAAATTTCGGGGTAAAAAAAGGGGGATTTTTTTTTTCCTTTCAGGTTTCAATTTGAAACCCTCTACCTCTCTCTAACTCAGTCTCTCTCTCAAGACTCCATCTCCTTCCACGATTCCCTCACCGATCTCACCGTCGAAGTCACTCTTCGCCGTCTTCGTCCTCTTCTCCAGGTAACTCTCTCTGCTGCAGCTCTATTCTCTCGATTTCCGCCGTTGATTTCTGTCCCTAACTCCGTCGATGTCTCTATCTCTCTTCTATCGTTTTCGTTGCTGTTTGCAGAGCTTTCTCTCTCCATTTTCGATTCCGACACCAGTAACGCCGTCAGGTCTCATCTCTCTCTCTCAAAGTGAGTTTTTCTTCCTTCGTTGTTCTTCTTTCCGCCCTCTTCGAGTCCATCACCATGTCTTCGAGTCTGTTTGTCCTATTGTTAGTCATGGGACCACTAGAGAATAATGTAATAACGCAGCCCGAGTCAGGAAGAAAAGTAAAATTTTGGTAATAATGGTGGAAATTATATATAAGAAAAGACTAATACTAATTCGAAAGTCAATAAATATTGTGCAATTAGGATCGCATCAGAGGGTGAATATAATATGCAGGAGTTGCCGCGTCATGGATCATCAATTATTCAGTCATCATCATCACCTCTCTTCCATCAGAAGTTTGGAGCTTTACATAAGTATTCGTGTTTGGTAATCCGAGCGGCAGGCGAGGATGTCGGATTGGGATGACGGCAAACACGAGAAGGTGAAAAAGGTGCAGATCACGTACACTGACACCAGCACCTACTCCATACAGGTCGATTACTGCGCCAATGGCGACACCGTTCATGGTGAGGCTCACGGTCGCAAAGTCGGAAGCCAATCTGCTGAGGTTTATATTTCTTTGTTAATCATCAAGTGATATATATAAATCTAATTCTGTTTTATAACTCGATTCAATTGGAAAATCATAAATTCGCAGATTGAGTTGAACGCGGACGAGTACCTCACGGAAGTGGATATCTACGAATTCAACGTTTCAGCTTCATTCACGTTCAAGAGCAACCAAAGAAGTTTTGGTCCCTATGGAAACACTGCTTCAAATTTTTATCACAGAGAGATAAAATCGCCGGAAGGCAGCCATATCCTAGGGTTCCATGGCAAGAGCAGCGATTATCTTGACCGTCTTTACGTTCACTTCGGACCCATAAACTTGTCCGGAGCCATGAAATTGGAAGCACAAGGACGTAAGGAAGGCCTAAGATGGGACGACGGAGCGAATCACGACGGCGTCAAGAATATTGTGGTCGGAGTCGGTCATAAAGGCGTCCACTACATCAAGTTCGACTATGACAAGAGCGGTCTGCTAAATGATGCACCTGTTGAAATAGAAACAAAATATGGAGATTTGATATGATTGATAACAATTAAAGGCATAATATCGATTAAGAATAAAATATATATCGTGATAATTATATTTTGCCTTATTTGTTTCTTTCGTATCTTTATTTCCTTGTTTCTTTCAATAATTTTTCCTATAAATGTATGGATTATTTTCATTGTAATGTAACAAGAAGAAGAGATGTAGCAATAAAAGTGTTTCCGTTCTTTATCTTTTGTTCTTTATTTCTAATTTAATTTTCGCATTTTATTTTTCAATATGGTATCAGAGCCTGGTTGCGATCTGAACTATATGTTTCTCTTTTTCTAATTTTCTAATCTCTTCTTTCTTTTGCGTTTTGAATGTTCATATATCCAAATCGTTCAAAGGGAGAGTAAAAAAACCAGATTCAAACGATGTGCTATGACAAAAAGAAGTCAAAGCTAAAAACTCTAAGATCAAGCAAGATGCTATGACAAAAAGAGTTAAAACTAGAACTTTAAAGTCAAGCGAAGTGATTTGAAAGAGGTTAATACTCTCTAAATGAATGAAATTTGGTTTCTATGGATTGTTCTAATAACAGTGAAGTTTTTCATCATTTTGTTGTATCTTCAAGATTGATTTTTGAATTCTTTCAAAATCAATCTTGAGGGGGAATGTTGAAATAATAAAAAAAAACATATATCCTTCTCGAAAAATCAAAACCGAAAGAGGAGAGAAACATGACATATCAATTGTCATATGAAAATTTCAAGGTCATAGCTACCTTTGAATACATTCGGAAGTTCAAACTACTCCAAAATGCATGGAGTAATATGCTTGAAGAACAAAGAGACGAGGCGTTCAAATGCGTTTGGGATAGAATCAAGGAGCTTCATCCCGATCTAAGCACCGAAACACGTAAACTCTATACGTTTCTTGGATTTTTGGATGGTGTACACAACAAACTAATCTTGCAGGTTATAAAAGCTAAAGAGAAGATATCTCTCATGGAAGCAAAAATGATGTGGTGTCAAGAACGCACTCAAAACATCATAAACAACGAACAACACGAATGGCTATCGGAAGAAGAGATGACCGACCAAACTGTTCGAGAATTCTTCATCGAATACATGACGCCCATTCATCCACAACGTGAGGGGGAATGTGTGGAGAACACTCCCACGTGTGTGGATGATGAGATGTTAAATGAACAACCTAATGAAGAGGACGGAAAAGAAATGATACAAACCGAAGAAGTCGAGCACACTGGAGATATAGAATCGAGTTGCTCAAACAAAGAAAAAGGGGATCAAATAGAGTTTGTGAAGGATGGTGACCAACAAACGGAGGCAAAGAACCCCAAAAATGAGGCATCACCTATGGAGAACAGTTTTGTCACCTTCGTTCTTCCAAAAGAAAACCCGATCATGTCCTTCCAATGCATCGACAATAGAGTTTGTCATTCTTTCTTTTCTCCAATTCACTTTGATTTTATTTGTCCTAACGAAATATTTGGTGTTATAAGTCACTTTGGACAGAAAATAAAAGACACATTCATCATGGAATATTTGGATGAAAAACAAACACTCACGGATAGAAAGAAAGTTCATATACGACAACAAACGCCATTGCATGAAAAAGGGTTCGAAAAAGACTTGATGTTATCTATGAGTTTCAACAACTCTAGACTCGGTATTTCTAACTCTCTCTCATTTATTTTTGATCCCGGTACAATTAAAATTATGTTCTTAGAAAAAAAAACAAAATATGCATGCTTGGAATATTTTTAAGATAATGTATGATACATTTGAAGTCTATGATAAGCACCTAGTATACCTTGAAAAATTAGCATTAAGACTTGCATATTATCATACTAGAATACTATTTTTGTTACTTTTTAATATGAAAAATCTAGAAAATTTTAAATCAAATGTTATTTTAAAATGGAGTGTCACGACCTCCTTTGTGTTTGCTAATCTTTCGTTTGAGATGTTGCAGAAAATAAATCCAAACTTGAGATATGGTGGATGCTTGAAGATAGATCAATACATTCTCTTGTCAAGATCAGTATGTCAATATTTCTCCATACTAATCTTGAGGGGGAATGTTGAAGAGAAAATTGACTTGATGCATGGACATCACTCGAGAATCAAATCTCCATATTTTGTTTCTATTTCAACAGCACCCGTCCATGGCCTTCGAGACCATACATTCTCACTGCCACCTGTACGGGATTTCAACGGTTTTTTGTTCTTCTTGATTGTGATTCAACGGTTATGACGTTAATGTCTCTTGACAGTTTGAAGTTGACCGGCCTGATGAGCATCTTATGTCGGCGGTGGGTTACCATGAGGGTGGCATCATTCAGGGTCTTCAATTCAAAACCAACAAGAGAGAATCCCATGTCTTGGGGTATAGCGAGGGGACCAAGTTTACGCTCGAGGTTAAGGGCAAGATGATTGTCGGCTTCCATGGATATGCCGACATAGCTCTCAACTCTCTCGGAGCTTACTTTGTACAGACCCTTTCAAATAGAAAATTGGAAGCTCAAGGTGGTAGAGGAGGCAAAGAATGGGACGACTTAGCAGATCACGATGGCATAAGAAATGTCGTCATTGGGGTTGGTCGGAAAGGCGTCCACTACATCAAGTTTAGTTACGTCAAGTGTGGACAGCTCAAAGATGGACCAGTACACGGGCGCACGAATGGAACACTCTCCCCGCCACCGACGGTACGATTACGAATATTGTTGCAGTTCACTTGTAACTTTTTTCACGTATTTTAATGTACTTTGAATATAGTATTGACAGATCGTATTTGTAGTATGTGCAGTTTGAGATTGATCATCCAAGTGAATATCTCGTGTCGTTGGTGGGTTACTACAACGGTAACATCATTGAGGGTGTTCAATTCAAAACCAACATGAGGGTATCTCAAGTATTTGGATATGGCACCGGTACTAAGTTTACACTTGAGGTCAGGGACAAGAAGATTGTCGGCTTCCATGGATATGCCGACGCGTATCTCAATTCGATCGGGGCTTACTTGATACCAACTTTGTAATGCATTTGACTTGATGGTGGGACTTTGGACTTCCAATTTCTGTTGGTCAAGGCAATTCTTCTTGAAAATAAGAACCAACCCAAACCATTTAATTCTATTCTATAAGTTGTCAAATATCTTTATATTTGAAAACAATATTTTAAATGAAAAAATCTAAACTTTGAAATAATATAGTGAAAATATCTTTTGTCACGTAATATTTTCTCTAGATTCTATAATTTATATTATTAATTGTAATTTTGTATAGTTATGTCATAGTTACATATAGTTCGAATTTGTCGTATCTTGGAAACATTTTCGAGCTCTTTTTGTCAATGGACTTCAACCTTTTAAATTATATCTCAAATGGGCCAGGCCCATTACATTAAAAAGGCCCATAGAAGAAAATATCGACATGCGAGTTGACCCTCTGTTCGATCAAGTTATTAACAAAGCAGAGAAAAAACGAGCAGCCTCGGCGTCACCGTCGGGGTTTATTACTGAAATAACCCAGATGTATCACAAGAATTTCTTCTGTACACAACCAAAAAATGCCTGAAAAAATGTTGCACTTTGTACCCCACTTTTTATGACAAAAGACCTAAATATCCATTTAATGAAACGCTTCGTTTTGATTGAAAAAGTAATAAAACGTTTTTTCGTTTTGATTAAAAACGTGTGAATATTAAATATTGAGACAAATTAAATGTGATTCTCTCTCATCTCTCTCCATGTTTCATCCCGATCGTGCGTTCGCCATTGAAGCTCTGTCGGAGCTTTAAATCAAGCTTGTGATCAGTTTTTTTTGTGCTTTCGAAACTAAGTCTCCTATACAGGTATAATGAGAGTAAAACCCAAGCATTTTAGGCATTTATTATTGTGCCTTAAATTCTGTTCTAGGGTTTCATTTAAATGTCTGAAATTTTTGGGTTGTTGATGAGAATGACAAATTTCGGTTCATTTGACAGGATTATGGATGGTTTTGAAGATTGTTATACATGTATTTGTATTCGGTATGGTGGTTTTTGGGGAAAAAATGATGATGGATTGTTTGAATGGAAGGGAAGTGATGATTGTTCGAAGACAATATGCATTTTTAACAAAGCAAGCGAAGTAACACACGAGGAACTTGTCGGAACTGTCTGTGCCCAGCTAACCGTTGATTTAGGAAAGACGAAACTGAGTTTTGTTCCAATTGTAATGGATGGAAACCGTCCGGAATATATAGTCGATGACATGGGAGTGAAATCTTTCCTATTTAGCAAAATTAATGGACGGCGAGGATGGTTATACGTAGAGCGAAAGGATGATGATGGAGTTGAGCTAGAAACGTGTGTTTGCGAAGTTGAGTTAGCGGTTGATGTGAATGGAGAAAAAGGAAGAGAGATTGTTGATGGTAATGGTTTAGTTGTAGATTTTGTGGTAGGAGAACAAGATGAGGAAGAAAGAGAACACAATGATGTGGAAATGGGTGTTGATTATGATGTGGTTGAGCAAGAGACTTTGCATGATCGTATACGACACGAGAATGAAGTGGTTGTTACGACCGACAATGCTAGAGTTGAAAACACGACAGAGGTAGCTACTGAAGTTGCAACGGAGTTAGGGATTGCAGTTACAATACAGTTAGGTACTGAAGTTGCAATAGAGTTAGGTACTGCAGTTTGCAGATGATGGTGGAAGACGTGTAAGTGGAACCGAATGTTTCTCGTTTGAAGACAGAATGGGTTTTACCTTCTCTCTCTTGTGGTTGTAACAACGGTGTACATGTATGGACATTCACGTGCTTCATCACTCTAAAACACTCAGTTTTCTTTTTAACCACTGCTCGAACTTTCCACATACAACCTTGTCTTCGGAATCGACATCTTGCTTCCCATATCTGTGATTCGGACTTGTATACATAATATTCAACAATCAAGAAGCCTTTATATGACGTTTTTAGAGATGTTGCGTCTACGGCAATCACTTTGCGCATTGCACACCACCCTTTGATGCAAGCACCCAAAGCAAGAAATGCATACTTAAAAGTTTGTCCATCTTTTTCAAATTGTATCTCCGTTACCGTACCCTCGTTTTTTTCCTTCAACATATGGAAATAACTCGGAAGCCTATTATAGTTTTCCACCGGATTCCCCCAAACAGCATTTTGAGCTTGTCTTCTTCCTCTCCATGCCGTTATGTAAGAAACCTTGCATTTATAAGCTTTGCTCACCAAAGACATCAACCTTTTCACTCTAGGAAGATCAACTTGTCCCGCAAAATGTCTTTTGAGATAAGCAACAACCATCTCTA